TGTGAAAACAATGAGCCAGTACTTCCGTTTGTGAAGAATTTCACAGCAGGTTTTTATAAATTACTCCTCAGAATATCCGGTGAGGTATGTTACATATCATTTAACATCATCTGATCACTAAACAAATCACTGCGTATTGAATAAAAGAGAAAGATGCATTAACCATATAATGTCTTCAGTTGCCCGCTAATGTTTCTCCATAAGAACCTGTACTAATTTAAACTTTTTTTATTAAAAAATGAGGCCGGTAAGACCCACATTGTTTTTACCGCTTACTGTTTATACTTGAACAGATTTTACTTTCAATTAAAGTATTTTTTGGGAATATTTAACCGTAGTCAGTCTAACGAACTTATTACCTTCAAGTTTTATTTTCCGGTGCTTCATTTCACTCGGAGTAAACATATAATTAGGCGATCATTACTTAACTTACTACCACAAATCGTAGAATATTAGTGATATAATTAATCCATTAGTACTAGACTGTTTATTAGTATCAAACAACTGTGTATGATGAACTATGACTAACTGATAAAAAAGTTGTAAACTGAATATAGATGGAAATAAGCATTTTTGAAACGAAAGTTATATTATTTGTCAAGCGATTGCACATAGCTTTAATAATACTGCTCTGGCAACAGGGCGTTGCTCTCTTGTGTATAGTTTGCTGCGAATGCTGATCAGTCAAATATATTCCTGTTTGTTTCGCTGGTTAAAGTAATAAATGATTGCTGCTCCTGACTATCGAAATGAATGAAGACATGCATCACGGGTGCTTTGTTTTTGAATTTTACGTTTTCAAGTACTTTTCCTCGAGGTTCCGGGTTCGGTTCCCGTATAATCTCCGTAGAACCATACGTATAATTTGTAACGAATTTGCGTGCTTCACAGAGGCTAGTCCAACCCCTGTGAAGCGTCCTAAGCCTTACCCCTGGTAGACGACGCACGACGCGTGCGAGACGCGAGACGCGAGCGCCAAGATGCTACTGTGGCGTCGTTAACACGAGGGCCAGAACCGTTAGGTCGGTGAAAGTACGCTGCGGGGGAGGAAGGGGTTGAGCCTGAACTTCCGGGAGTTTTGCGCTCTGGCGGTTGACTCAGGTAGAGCCGCAAGCCAAAAATACCGTAGGCTGTAAACCGGAGGATGCTAGCCAGCGAGCCTCGCTTATGGTTGCAACCTGAGAATCCTGTGTGGGGCGTAAACCAAGCTGCTGGCAGCGAGCCTATCTATGGAACAGTGGTGGGGGGGTGTCAGCCTCAACTATTAACGCGGCACGATCTGCGCCCGCGCTCTCATTCAGTTTGCATCGGGGAGCTTGTACGTGTATGTACAAGGTGTTGTAGGAGTGAGGGCGAGATGTCCGCAGAGTAAGGGCCAGACATCTCGCGCGTGCTGTAGGCACACGGTCGCCACGACCGGGTTAAATTTTGGCGTCAGGCCATGTGACGGTAATTGTCACGGGACGGATGTCCGACAGCTCGCATCACGCGTGCTTGTATTTTTCTGGACGTAGCAGGGTATTGAAAGGAAAAGGTTGCCGGAGAGTGTTTAAAATTAGCAATTCATTGTAACTTGTACATAATCTTTAATATATTATTTTTCTTTTGTTATTGAAATTTATTTATTTCACTAACCGTCACACTACCTGCGGCGTGTCCTTTGACTTGACTGCCCAGCGGCTCCTAGAGAGTGCTGACAGTTTTAATAACAACGGAGGATTACTCCAGATAAAAATTAATGGAAGATTACTCACGATTCGTTCAACGCCCTTAAGGAGTTAGGTTAGGTTAATTAATTAGTTAAATAACAACACATGCATGAATACCGTGTGATTCAGTCAATCGGCAAAGTCATCTTTCGGAAAAGAAAAAAAAAAGGTTTTTAAAAAATGTTGTTACTGTGAGCATATACTTTACGATTTTTCAAAACAATTCACATTGAAAGATACCTCATTTTCTATCACTTCTGGAATGTTGTGTAGATTGCATTACGTCGCGTAAGCGTTGAGGTAAAGCATATCCTAAGATCATACTCGACAGAAAAAGATTAAATCTATATCTTATGTGGCCGATACTCAATGAAAGAGTCACGTGCAACTGGTTTTGCATACTAAAATTTCTACTGATAACTTTTTTCAGAAAATCCACTTTTTTTAAAACAAAGAAATGGAAGAGGAAACACGCCCCAAATGCAAGCAAACCTCTAGGAGTTGTCCAAATGCATCACTACCCTTTATTCATTTACGTTAGTCCTGTACGAAATGACGCACCAGAAATTATTTGTCCTTCAAAATTATACAAATATACATAGTAAGTTTTTTTGATATAAAATAAATAAGTAAGCTGGATAGTCATGATTCATAAAATCTTATTCGATGCTTGTTACGGGTGGAGTCAAAAGCACCTCGCCAGCGCCGCAATTTTACACCTTTTTTAAATTTCAAGTCGTAGGCTTCCGCGCCAGAGTCATGTGCATGATCTTGGTTGTCCGGTGACCTCGCGTCAAAGCTGTGTTGCCGACGTTTCGACCATCTTGTCGTGGCCTTCTTCAGGGCTGGTATGTCATGGGCAATACCACCGTAAGTCAAGATCATGTACTTTTTAAAAATTGTCGCGATAGAAAGAAACATTTTAAAAATTAGCTTCGGCCATTTTACTTGGAAAAGAGATTCACCAGATGATCTCATTAAAGCAGATAAACCATCGTTTTGAGATCAAAAATCGAGTTGTAGGATAAAAGGTCGTGCGTATACTCCGCTCATTCTTTCCGGTATTTGAAACCCGGAAGATCTTAGAGCAAGGTGGAATGTTAACAGAAAACCTTAGAAGTAAAATATATCTAAAATAAAGATGTGAGGAGATGAAATAATGGTTATATTTACAAAATTAGTTCATTTTTTTTAAAAAACGCAGTTCCAATCGGAAATCGATATTTTGAGTATTGCCCTAAACAATTTTAAGATCGTATTCGAAGAAAGACGGAAATATGTGAAAATATGGTTTATGTACTACTATAAAGACCGTTTACCTCAGTTAGAATGTTAAGCATCTCTAATTTGGTATCTGTGGAAAAATAGGCTGAGATACAAAGAGACGAAAGCCGAAACCGACTGTCTGGCTTTGCGAATCCCGCAAGTCCCGCCCTGCTCCGTCGGGGCTGGCGCGCACGCCGCCTGGCTGGGTGCCCCCGCGCCGACAGAGGGCCCACAACAATCGGATGGGTGACGCACAACGAAGAGGGAAGGAGGGCGAGGTGTTTTCGTTAATTTCACTTTACGACGCTCCTATTCGTCCGATTTGCATGATTGTCACGGTGTTGGATTCAGGAAGCATGTCGCCATCGCGCTATAAGCCCACATTTTTAATTTTTTTCTCGGAGTTTGAGAACTAATTTTAAATTTGGAGATTTTGCTAGATTTTTTGGAAAATGGGCTTCGTAGCGTAAATTCTATTTTAAAATGCGTCAAATGCCGTTTACAAATCGAAAATAGGCACAATTGTTCAGACGTTATCGGTAGTAAATTTCCCTTGTGATAGTGCTGCGATCTATTGAATTTTCCTACAAGTATTTTTCGGTGCATTTAGCCTTAAGGAGTTAGTCTCCGTCCACAGAGGCGCAACTAACTAATAAAAAAGTAGTGAGGTGTTAATAGCACACAAATGCAATACTGCAATATTTCGTCGCTGTTTCCAGTATTGCGAGAAAATATGTGCTGTTATAGCACCACTAGTAAGGATATTTATTTATTGATTTATTTATTTTGGGATCGAAGTTAAAAAGAAACTGCGTGCTAATTGAACAACAATATATTACATGCAGTTATCTCTTGTAAATATTTAGGTATACAATTATTAAATTGAGCCGTGAAAACCAAATAAATTTCGTTGTAGGGAAAACCTGTAAATCTTCACATTTCATTCACAAGTCATTTACACTCTAGGCCATGTTTGGTAGGCGATCAGTTGCTGGACGCGCAGTGCTTTTGCGTTACCCAGCGCAGTCTCTGTCGTCTTTGAACTCTGGTAGCCAAGGAATCACGGATATACAACTTGGTGTTGACTGCTACACTTGGTTTTGCCTACACACGCCGTTGCCCATGTTTGTCTGCTTCCATATTCAATGTATCAATGTGCACCAGCTTACTGGCAAGCTGGAACAATTTCTGCCACAATGAGCTTTTTGTGGGAAGTAGACACACCATCTAGTAGCTATAGACAGTTTTGTAATCTTATATCGACACATTTCAAACTGCTACTTTCCAGAAGATACGAGGGGAGTGCCAACCAATGTTGGACTAAATAATAATAAAAAAAAATTTTCAAACAGATTTTAAAATGTGGCTCAACGTCTGTCCTTGCACTGTTTCGATTGAAAACTGTGCAGAGGTTTACAACTTGCCTTGTGTGGTCAAATTTTAATTCAATTTTCATTGTAGAGCATACCGAGTAAGTATACATAGTTTGGTTACGCAGGCCAGTGAAAGTGGATTAAATAAAACGTTTGATTTGTTTAATACAATACCTTGAGCAATAAATGCTGCCAAGAGATCCAATAACGCCTCCAGAACTCATTGTCTATTTTTAAATTTTCGTCTCCACAGATTAAAGTTTAACATTTGTTCTCGATATCATTCAGTTTCACCATGTCATTTCATAATTTGATTCTTCAATAATGAATGAAAATAAAGTGCGCCTGGCAGTGGATTATTTCCATAGATCACATTCTTCCCGGCGAAGCGTTCGCTTTGTTTTACGAGACTAAAGCCCGAAGGAGGGTCGTGTCAGGTCCGTCCTAAGCCGTCCTCCTTTCACGCCTTCAATTGGGGGGGAAGGGCGCCTCCAGATCCCTGCGGCGCGACACGAACCAGAGCAGCGCGGTGGCCTGAGGGCAAGGGAGGGGGTGGACACGCCGCGCAGTGTCGAACAAATTAACGCCCCCGCCCTCCACCCGCGCACTGTGCCCGGCCACGACGCTGCGCGGCAAATTTCCATATTTATTAACATCCAGTCCCTATGCTGCAACCCAACTCTGGTGCCCACGCCTGCGCCGTGGACTCGCCAAGAAGCAACTCGCTCGAGCAGATTTCCGAACTGTTATACAAGATATAAAGTAATAAATGTGACAAATGCACGTTGCTTAATCAACAGGACAGGCAAATTTTGAATTTATCGCTATACGTCTAAAATGAAGGTAAATAAGTTTTATGATGGTAACTTTATTTCATGGAAGTAATTTTTCCAATCGTAAATTGAAGTGCCGGCAATCTAACTACATATATAGCAAAATTAAAGAAACAGTGGTTGACGCGTAACTCAACAGACCAATGATTTCAATGGTTTTTGAAATGCAGAGCGATCAAGTCTCAGCAGGACGATCTCGTAGCGCTACTTATAAGTAAATGAAATAGATCGGTTGAATTTTGAAATAAAATGAATCCGTTAATTGGCAGCCTCTGAAAATAGAAAAATCGTGCTATAGCACATACTTTCTCGCGTTATTGGAAAAGCTACGTAATATTGAAATATTGCATTTTCTGCGCTACTCATACTCAGCCATTATTCCAAAACGTCCAATTCAACCAAGAAGTGAGCAACGCACTGTTTCCAGTGCAGCGTTATGATATAATGCGATGATATAAAAAAAACAAGTGCTAGTTAAGTACTTCTCAACAATTGCTGCGGATTGTTGCGAAATTTCTATTAAACTTTGCGGATTACTTAAAAAGTAGTACATTCATACATTGAGAATACACATTAAGTAACAGGAAACAATCGATTTAATGTCATAATTTGAAATAGGAAGTTATTATTAAAATTAAATTATTTTTTATATCATTCATTCAATTTTTCTCGTGGCCGAATTTGCTGTGAAACCCGTTAATTAATTTAATTAACCTATCATTAATTTGAAGCAAAAATTACACACAAACTACTTGTTTTTACAACAAATTGTACATTACCTTTAAAAACCTTATTTTGTTCAACAAACGTTGCCTGAGGAAAAAATCAGTATCTTCAATTTTGTAGTTTTGAAAGGTTTGCAATTTTCGAAAAAACGAGCAATACCCGTACATAAGACTAGCACCATATTTTTTACAGTTTCTTATAACATATCTGGAGAAATTTTAAAGGAAAATTTGGAGTGGTTTTTGAGAATTATTTTTGTAATATGTTTTTGAAATTTCAATCGCAAATTATTCAAAACTACTATTTTTTTCAAAAAATTGTTCATGATCTTTGTCGCAAAATGTCATTCCGGCCCTCGCGACACGCTGCCTCCGGCGAGTGACCAGCGCTCCGAGGCTCTAAAATGGCCAGGGTTTCACTCCTAGCTCCTCTCTTTACGCATTGCAACCTGCCGGGACCAGGCGTCGTCTCGCCACTCACTCGCAGGGCGAAAGGTTCCCGACGCGGGTAAATAGATGAAACATCTCTACTCTCTTTACTTCCTCCCTCTCCCCTCACTTCACGACATTGGTGACAGGTGGGGCGTTAAGTAACTCCCCGCATTTTTATTCTTTCTTTTCATTTCTCCATTTTTACCACCGTCACTGGTGGAGAAAAATTTGTTTTTCTCTTCCCCTCGTTCTATTTAAATTAAAAAAATATATTTTCATTATACAGCGGAACTCTTATGTACAATTAAGATGTGCTGCGATCCTTTTCGGAGAGATAGCGAGAGGCGGGCTTGCTGCAATTGCGAATCGGCGGCTCCTGCTCCCGTGACGCAATTGCACCAAGGTTCTTGAGTATCTGAGTATCAAAACCAGTGCAGTACCCGTCCCTATCCCTGTATGCCCCGACTGATATTATGATGGTCATTTCAGAGGATACGAAATCCCCCTCCCAGCAGTCTTTCCACGCACTACACGCAAGGCAAACAGGCGGAAGGTTCCCCATAACCTTCCCTGCGTTGCAGTACGTGTTATTATTTCCCCAAGTTTGGGGGTGACCCCAGGAATCCCTTCAGGCCTTCCTTACGATAATGAATACTGTGGCAGTTTCGGCAGGATGGCCTAGTCCTGACTGTCTGCGAGCAGCGCGTATCCGCATTTCAGGAACCGCTAAACGTCTTTTACGCGACCATCCGGCAGACGCGCAATCTTGGCAGGCAATGGAGGCATTCCTTCGCGAATTCTTTTTCACGAAACCCTCCATTGCATCGCAGCAAATATAAAGCAAACTCACAGGTTCGGTCAAACTCAAATTATCGCCGAAGAGGAAAACCTTTCTCTGGGAAATGTTTGAATTGCGACGAGGAAGGGCACCGTTTCCGAGAAAGTTCTACTCGCACCTGTGCTCTCTGCTCGGCGGTAGGACACGTGCAGGCAGAGTGCACCCGGACAAAAAACGGGGTTGCGCTGGTAGGGACGAACCAGAGCCCCTAGTGGCGAAGGTAGCACCTACCTACGGGAAATTAATGCTAGTACGACTAACCATGCTAGACACACATATGCGATTTTTTCTGGACACTGGTGCAGGAGTAAGCCTGATAGACCTAAACATGTTCTCTATCGCTGCTTGGACGTAAGACCGTGCAATCGACCAATCCGAAGTGCAACTGGGCATGCACTTAAGATCCATGGTTGGTGCACTGTCCCATTTTCTATTCACGGAGTGGCTTTTTCCCATGACGTGCTTGTTACCGACATGACGAATACCCATTACGAAGGCGTTCTTGGTGAAGACTTTCTGGAAACTCATGAAAGTAGAATTGGTTACAAACATCAGATCTTTTCAGTGACAGACCATTGCACGACAGCAATGGTCTCCATCGAATCGGACAGACTAGACCTACTATCCAACAGCTATGGGACTCGGCAGCTTGGATGACAATGATACCTATAAGACTAAAGCAGTGTTTTCAGAGTCCGAAAAGCAGCATTTAGCCAATAAAGGAGCCAGTGTCGGGAACATTGACGCCTTAGTTATACGGTGACGCTGATGAATTAATGTTTAAGTCTAATAATAAGAGTAATGCTATGTTTTCAAAGATCGAAAAGCGGCATTTAGCTAATAAGAGAGCTGATGTAGGGGACACTGACGCTTTAGTTTTAAGTTCCAGAGATACCAGCGTCGGTGACGCTGATGAATGATAATGATGAAATTTTTAGGTCTAATTATAATAGTAACTCTGTTTCGTCAAAGTTCGAAAATCAGTAGTTAGATAATAAAGAAGCCAGTGTCGAGGACGCTGATGCCCTGCCTATTATTTCTAGCTGTTCCGTTGCCTCGGCGGCTGATGAACGCTATGAATACGTCATAACCGCTAACGCTGAAGGCAATGATGATGACGAAACCCTAGTTTCTTTGAGAAGGGTCAACTGAGAGGTCTCGTCCACCTTCACCCACCTTGCCGTTCGAAAACCATGCTTGCTAGGGTATGTATCCTGCGAGTTACCCCAGGAACCTCACGGCGCGCATGAAGACCCCTCGAACATTGCGGTTGACGATCGAGCAGAGATTTGGCCACAAACGGGAGGAAGCACGAGACATTGCTCAGTTTTATCGACCTTGACCATTTACCCCATGACCTTAAGACACAAATTCAAAAGTTGGTAATGGAGGGTGGGGACATTTTTCTCTATGGCGAACGAAAGTAGGTGTTACCGACATCGTTTAACACATCATCGAGGTAGAAACCGAAAAGCCGATTTCCAAGACACCTTAAATAGCCCCGCTCGCTTATAGGGTCAAGATCGATGCAATAATTGAAGAGCTGTTAGATCAAGGAATTATAGAAAAAAGCGAAAGTGCTTGGGCAAGCTTCCTATTTCTGGTGAGCAAGAAACGGGAAGTAGGAAGCCTCCAGAATTTCGGCCTGTCATCGATTACAGAGCAATTAGTAAGGTGCCTAAACATCAAAATTTTCCTCTTCCTTTGATGAGTGACTTGCTAGAAAGTGTTTCAAATTCCATTATCTTTAGCTCCTTGGACTGCTTTTCTGGTACTATAAAGTCCCTTTACATCCAGACTCCAAGGATTTGATCACTTTCGTGAAACATCGGGGAGCGTATCGCTTCACTCGATTACCTTTTGGCCTCCGCAATGCTCCGATAGCTTTTCAACAATTAATCGAGAGAGTATTTGGCGATATCTGTGAAAATATTATTTATTATACAGACGACACTTTTTAAAGACCTAATTTTGTACAACTGATTTTTCGCTGAGAAAAATTTCTACCTCCGACTTCGAAGTTCAAATATTTTTTCCAATTTTCGAAAAATCGGAGAGGTCAACGAAAATAAGGTTTGCAACATTCTCTTGAACGTCCTTTGCAATATTCAACAAGAAAATTTTATCAAAGTTTTGAGTAATATTTTTATTTTGGAAATGTCCGGTGGGCTTCATATAAAGCACCCTCCAAAATTAAAATATCGGTTTCAAAATCCAGGGGCCGCGACATCCGCCAGAACGATTGAGGAATATCAATTTTGGTAAAAAGAGGCTGGATGGTTTATGCGCTTGCGTTGTGCACAGACAGATGAACAGACACGTTAATTAATTTATGTATTTCACACTATTCAACTACAAAATTTGATCAAACAATTTGGAGCTCTTTTTTTATGTTTTGAAAATGTCTAACGCGCTTAATGTTAAGTACCTCCCCCCCCCCAATTAAAATTTAGTTTCAATCTCAAGGAGCCGCGACATCAGCCAGATCGATTGAGGAATTTCAATTTTGTAGAAAATCGGTTGAACGGTTTATCCGCTTGCGTTAACCACAGTCTCACACAAAGACAGACACCCACACACACCCACTCACTCACACACACACACACACACTCACACACACACACACACACACATATATACTTGTATTTACAGAGTGATAATCTCTGAATCTATAGAACCAATATTGATGTAACTTTTGAGCTAGCTTCTTTTACAGGTCTAGAGTACTAAATGCTACGATCTGTAACCATCAAAATTAATTTATTTAAAAAATAATTGCTTTTCTTGACATGTTTGCCTAACGTTACTAGAAATTCATTGGAGTTTGAATAATTCAATAAAATGTGTAAACGTTGGTAATTTGATATTTCTGAACGGTGGTGGAACATTATATGGAAAGCAGTAAACAAAGTAGTAAAGAATGTCGTACATGCATTAGTCCTTATATAGAAACAGTTGCAAGAAAACATTGTGAATTTGAGTGTTTTAAAAATTGAGGTAGGTTGAGATAGTAAAAAGAACACAAATATACAGTACAGAATATCGAATGTACAATATGTAGATATTGTATTCTTCAAAACAAACTCTTCTTTTATAAAAAAATTGTGAACACTGAATTGTTTGAATCAATGTAAAACGAAAGTCACAGTTGTCAAAACAGACTGCAAATGCTAAGAGATGGACAGTCTATAAAAATTCTGAATTAGCAACTCAGAGGACAGAGCGACGTGAAGGACACACTTGCACCATTGAAAATAATACTGCTGGGCGGAGCAGGGATATAATGGGATGAAAGTAAGCCCCCTTCATAGGGCATGAATATATGGAATTCCTCTTCCTGGCTAATAATTTACTGTAATGAATGTCCGGGCAATGCCGTGTACTTCACCTGATATTCAATACGTACGTATACGAGAAAGTTAAAAGCATATTCTGCACACATGAACGATTTTGTCAAATAATGCAATTGGAGAGGAGCAGTAAGCAGCGGCAATAATAGTGGCCAATTAAATAAATATGCTTACGAGTTCATTTAAAATAATAATATGAAGAGAATATTATGCTTCAAAGGGCCATTGTGAAAAGTTTCAGCACGCAGTAAAAACGAATACCGCAAATGTGGGAATTGTGTAAATATTGGAATATATTTCACACCATTTCGACGAATCTTGGATTTTATGCATTCTATAACATTTTAATGTTCTTTTGTCTGTATGCAGAAATTCCAAATTCACTCGTTCACGACCTCGGTCAAACCCATCGTTTTTTATGATAAATAAATTATATTTTCGAATAAAATAGCAACAGCAAAAAATAGTTTAGAAACGTAACCCTTGGGTCTCAAGAAGTCTCCAGAAGAAAACTGATCATTTCTTTTTGAAATCTACATTTTTTGTGCAATTAAACGGACTTCAGCATTAAAATTCAAACTTGAATTAGCAAGAATAATGAACTTTTCGTGATACTACAGCATTCCATTAAACGTGTGGACAAATAGTTAAGAACGCAATGCGGGGGGAAGCAAATTGCTGAGCAAAGCGCTCGCCGCTCCGCGCAGCTGCCTCGCGGCCGCGTCGGGAGTCTCTTCCGGCGCTTAACTCACCGCCTGGCATTAAAGTACGCCGCACACGGAAGAGAAACGATAGCAAGTTAATTCTCTACCTAAATGAACAACAATTGGCGTTATTTTTCACATTCATTTGAATGAAATGTATTGACAAAAATAGTGATACACTAACAACACTGAAATCTGTGATCTGGGAAAAAATGCTGCTAGTGATTTAAAAGCGATTATTGTATTAGAAACGCACGTCGTTATTCGTGCACAACTCGGTGAATTTTTCTGAAACATGTTGAAGTCAAAAACTCCTTACGATTCTTTGCATATGTACTTTAATTTTCGTTTTAAGTAAATACTTGTTGAAACAAAAATTACAGTCTCTAAGAAACAATGGCTAGGAGCAGAAATCTGAACGTTGAAATATGTACTATTGAAAAGATATCAAATAGAATCAGTTTCCCTTATGTAAAGAAGCGCAGCGTTTCAAATAATGCAGGGAAGGGCAGAAGTCTATCGTGTGAAGGTGTTGGGTGGTGGGCGGGTCTGGGGAGAGGTTGCCGTGGGCCCTCACCTGTTGGTCGGCCCGGAGTCTGCGGGCTGCGTTGCTGTGGGGGCGGCGAAGGTGGCGGCGGCGGCGGCGGCGGCGGCGGGACAGTGGCTGCCGCAAAGGTCGGCCCGCTCGCTATATACGGCGAAGCGCTGTCGCGCCTCGCGGCCGCTGCCCCAACTACCCCGCCGCCACCGCCGCCACCACCGCCGATCCAGCTCCAGGATGCGAGTTCGACTCTGGTTCTACTCCCCGCCTTGTTTTGGTCCTTCCGGAGTCCTTTGGCACACTCTTTTAACGAATCTTTTGTAATGTGCATGCTTTGCTAATTTGGTACAGTCATAATCACTTCATAAAACCTTAAAGTAAATTCATTGTAGATGTTACGTTCTCCGAAGATTATGGCATTCTAACGACGAATTTTTATTCACAAATATACAATATTTAATTACGTATTATCATCACAAAAATGGTAGAATAATTACTTTTGGTAGTAAATCACATCCAAATTTCTTTAAAAAAATGTAGTCTTGAAATATTTCCAGAGATGTTATAACATCGTGCAATTAACTCTCCAACTTCATTATATACATTGGATAATACTTTATTATCCAACCAGTGGTGCTAAACATCACACAATTTCTGTATAATTTCTAACTGATCAGCAATGTTACATGAACCAAAAGTGTTTTCAACCAGCAAAATGTTTTTTGCAGACGCTCCAATTCGTACTGAAGCCTTAAAATTGCCTATATTTTCAGCACGCAATTTTCTAAAATTCAAACATAAAAAGAATTGAGACAAACACGAATCTTTTAAGCGCTCCTTGTTTAACCCTGCTGCGTCGTTCGATATTCCTACACACTTTTGGGTCAAAAATGACCCGATGCTAGGAACTGGGCTGATACATGATATATGGGCTAACACATGATACATGTTTTTTACTAGTTCATCTACTATGGCAGCACCTCCTTTAAATTTGTTAGCGGAAACTAGATTAATTAATAGATATATATATCAAGGAAATGTTAAAGAATATTTTTGTTTTATATATTTTTTGTGGGCTGCTTCTATCTAGATTGTATTTATTTTGTTATAGTCAACATGGAATGGTCTTTTTTCGGTTCTTTTAGTTACGTCAATGGATATTTTCGTGAATATTTATTATTATTCTTACATTGATTTTCTTTAAATGTTATGGTTTTGTGTTGGGAATATTTTTGTTGTATTTAGTTTTATTAGTTTAATAAGAACGTTGATTTGTGGAATCAAAGGTATATAATAAATGATGTATTAGGCTTTTATAATAATTTTATTTGTAAATTATCTTCAGCTATTTTATTTTTATATCAATAATGATGTTTCTTGTAATATTGTTATAAGACTTTTTTGGATTATGAATTGTTAATATTTATAAGATTTGTAATATATAGTAATTTGTTATAGAGATAGTTATATAATAGGTGATTATAATCTATCTCGATTTATTTTAGTATTAATATTTGTATTATCTATAATGTTTTTTATTATTAGTCTTAACTTGATTAGAATTTTATTGGGATGAGATGGTTTAGAATTAGTATCTTATTGTTTGGTAATTTATTATCAAAATGTTGAGGAGTATTAGCTATTGTCTCTTCCACGTCGTGAAGAATTTCCTATCCTCAAGGCAGCGGTTATAGATAGCCAAAAGGCATTCCGGATACTCCTGTGCCACTATTTTTCGTATTTCACAGAGAATTCCATATCGATGCCTGGGCCTTCCCAGTTTTCATGCCTTTCGCCTCTCTCCTCAGTTCGTCTGTCGTGAAGTCTTTGTCTCATCCAGGGATCTCTAGTGGCAAAGAGGTCCCTCATCCATTGTGGGTCATTCGATCCAGATATCTTCCAGCCCATCCTGAATTTCTTATTTACTATTCTATAAGCCATGACCCATGAGTCGTTACCTATCTGTTCTAAGAGCTCTTTCCAGCATCTGCCTTTACTTCTTTTTATTTCTCTCTTAAGCCATTTGGACAGTTCTTTAGAGTTCCCTGACGTGCAGGTTCGTCTTGGCCCTTGTCGCTTTTTTCTTGCCTTGTTACAGTTCCTTCGTAGTTCGGCTATTTCTGGTGTCCACCAATACATTTGCTGTTTTCGCTTCGGACATATACGTCTAGGCATGGATGCGTCGCAAGCTGCTACCACTATTTCCTCCGTTGTCTTGACCATATCCTCAAGCGTTTCCGCCTCTTTCGTCCAACCCATGTTAACTAGCAACCTGGATTCTTCCATAGAGCGTTTTGCCTCGTCTTCATTAATTTTTTTATTCCTAGGTGGTCTTCCTTTATATCGCATTTTGACATGTTGCGGCCGCTCCGTTAATGGAGTCGAATATCCTATGTACCAATGGTCACTCAGAGTTTCTTCGTCGAGCACTGACCAATCAGTGGTGCCTTTAGCTAGCTTGGTGGAGCATATTGTCAAACCCAAAATAGATGATGAAAGGTGAACTCGTCCCCAGTGTTTAAGATGATCAGATCATTTCTTGCGATGAATTCACATATGATAGTTCCTCTTCTGCCGGATCGCATCTCTCCCCATTCGGACGACTTACCATTGTAATCGCCTACCACTAATAACTCGCTCTTCGACGTTTTCAAGGTAGCTTCCGGCTCATTGATATCTTTCTGAAATTTTTCTAGCGTATCATTCGGTGAAAAATAGCATCTATAAATTATCATATGGCTACTTCCAGCCATTCAAAGCCGTATCTCGTTCTCTTGTGATTCGTGATACTCAGCTTATTATGCATTATTATGCCGGCTCTTCCAGTGCATCCTGATACCACATGACGCAGTGAGGTTGCTCGCTGACCAGCAGCACGTCAACCTCCCATACAGCACGACCTGCTGCATCAACACCCACGCCTGTTTACTCCTACCGACATTAATTTGTAGGAATCGGAGCATACACTCTCTTTTTGGCTCTGTTGAACGCCATGATGAAGGACGTACATTTATTACTTCCTAACATTATATATTATTATTTTTATATAATTTGAATGTTAGCTGTAGAATTTTATTATGTAATTAGCTGCCACCGGGTTATGCTCATTTGCAGTTCAAATAAATTTATTATTTATTATAATTATTAATAATTTATTTATTTATATTTATTAAATTATTTAAACTTTTACTCACCATTCAACTATTTATAGTTAAGGGAAGATAATCTTTTCCCCCCACGTCACATAGTTTTTACTGTTTTTTTTGACTGAATAAATATAAAACTATTAGGATTCACGGCATCCTCTTTATAATGTCTGCGTATGTTTACCTTGACTAGCTGTCACCTTGATAGCTGGGTTGACTTTTTTACTTGACTTATACTCTTCTTTCTTTTGGCTATTTTCCTTTTACTTCTTTTCTTGCCTTACCAGCGCTCCTCTTCTTGGCTTCGTTTCATCTCAAGATGTTCTATCATCTCTCTCTGATTTCCATGGCTTCCTCCAGGAGCATTCTCCACCGTGATTACTCTATTCTGATTATCTTTCTTGTCCCTCCTGTTAAACTCCTCTGGTGAACTCGGTTCCGCCCTCTTTTTCCTTTGTTTACTCTTACCGAGACTTTCTCTTTCGTAATTGACAGAGCGCTCAGGATCTCTGAAGACTCTTTCTTGCGCCGTATCCTTTAAAGCACCGTCCCTCTTCTTGCCGTGTCTTGTATTCTCGGCTTGTACGTCACCCTTCCTCAGGAGGAGCAATCTATCATGCTTCCACTCTTGCTCTTCATTGATGTCCTGCCTGCAGTAGTCGCCCGCACCCCCTTGAAGGAACCCCCGGGACCGAGTTCCATCGCAGCAGCCGCCGCGGCGCCGTCTCGCACGACTAGGCACCTCGAAGCGCGCCATCGGCGCTATCCGGGGGCAGCTCTCACTCTCTCTCTCTCTCTGTCTTTCTCTGTCTCTCTCTGTCTCTCTCTCACTCTCTCTCTCTGTCTCTCTCTCTGTCTCTCTCTCTCCTGGGCGATAACATCGGGGCTACAGCTACGAATATTGGACATCTCCCTGGATAATGGCTATTTTGGCTTTTCTTGATACTTCTTCTGGAATATTGTGAAACTTGCTTGTTAACGGTTACGCTGCTCTGGTGTGAGGTCAGAATAAACCTATTTTTACGAAACTACTTTTTTGTGGACATAACACGGCCATCTGTTCTTTAGTGTTTCCACATCTTGTGCTGTGGCCAAAGTTTTCCTTACTATCACAGGATAATTTCTTAACATTTTTTGTCCAAAGGCAGCTGGGTATGCAAACGTTCTATGATCTCTATATTAACCTTCATCAGCTCTTGGATAACTTCCGATCTTTCCGGCGTCCAGTCCACAGCATTCCTTTATCCTCCAGACGTGGGCTCTACTTGAACCGGAGATGCACTTATAACGCTGGCATGATTACAGCTTTATCAAATCGTATTGGTGATGTGGCTTTATTATTATCAATTGCATGAACAATTTGATATGGTAGATGGAATTATTTATATGTTAATAATTTTGGAAACTTGGATGTTGAAATATATTTGATTATTTTAGTTCTTTGAGCTGCTATAACTAAGAGAGCTCAAATTTCTTTTTGCTTCTTGACTTCCGGCAGCTATAGCTGCTCCTACGCCTGTGTCTGCTTTGGTTCATTAAGATCATTTGGTTCATTAAGATCACTTTGGTTCATTCATCAACATTGGTTTCAGCAGGGGTGTATTTACTTAATCGTTTTGTATTAGTTATTGAGATATATTCAATAAGTGAATTTGTAATATTTATTGGTTGTTTACATTTATATCTGATTTGGGTGCTAATTTTGAATTTCATTCGAGGAGGATTTTTGCTTCATCAACTTTGAGTCAAGTGGGTCTTTTAATGAGAACAATTGGATTGGATTATTATGATGTAGCTTTTTTTCATTTATTAATTCATGTATTATTTAAGGCATTATTATTTATGTGTGCAGGTATTATTATTCATGGTTTAAATAATATTCAAGATATTCGTGGAATAGGCGGGATCGTAAATCAGATACCTTTAACTTGTGTTGTTGATGTTTTGTTTTTTTTTAATTTCAAATTTGGCTTTGTGTGGTATGCCTTTTTTGTCTGGATTTTATTCAGAGGATTTAACTTGGAAATTAATATTAATAAGAAATTCTAATTTATTACTTTTTGTGTTGTTTTTTCTGTCTACTGGGTTAACTGTTTATTATACTTTTCGTTTGATTTATTATGTTATGGTAGATGAATTTAATTTTAAGATATTACATTGTTTGAGTGATGTGAGTTATGGGTTTATTGGTTCTATATTTATATAAATATTTATATCTGTAATTGGTGGTTCATTATCTTGAGTAATAATGAAGTGGTAATTGAGTGGTTGAATGAGTTTTGAATTATCAATATTAATGAATATATAAATTGTGGTAGATGTAGTTTAATAAATTATTATTTTGTAAGATTTTTAGGATCAATATGGTTTACACTTTATATGTCTACTTATATAATTGTATCTTATCCTTTATAATTTAACGGTACGAGCTGATACGATGTAGAATTTCTGTGAATAAAATTTGCAGCGTTGCCCCCACTGGAGGAGAGGGAGGTTCCTGACCCACGTCCCTTCGGCTATTGACGCGAGGGGTATTTATGACGTTTCATGGCAGGACATCCCCGCGCAGTTCGGGGTGAAGGGAGCCCTTTGTCGGCAACCGGGTCCCGCCGACTCCTCGAGAGGGTGCGTTCCCCACCCACGCGACCGCTCGGCAAAGAAACCCGACGTCAATTGCGCCCACTTGGGGAGACAGATTTACGATCGGGGCACGTACGTGTCCCAAGTAGGTCATGCCGATTTTTTTGCCGCAATCATCGGCGCGACAGCAACGAACATTTTAACTGTTAGAAAGGGATGCCACGGTATTGGTCGAAGCCCCGCCCCACCGTGCTCCGCGATATTCAATCGCGCGTATCTGGTGGATTCTCACTGGAGGAGAGGGGAGTACCGAGACTTCATGATTCGGAAGAGCAGCTCTGAAAAACACTAATTCAAATATTCTGGTGGAGAGACGTCGAGCTCTCACGCTTACTCGAATATTCTTGCGAAAGAATGAGCGAATGAATATTCTTGCGTTTGATGAGAATTGAGTGCTTATAACAGGTATAATTAAAGCAATTTCTACATCAAAAATTACGAAAATGACAGCAATTAGGAAGAATCGTAAAGAGAATGGTTAGCGTGCTGACCTTTTTGGGTTAAATCCACATTCAAATGATGAAGTTTTTGCTCTATCACAAGGAATACAGGCGGTCCGGCAGTCAACTAGTCATTGAAATGGCACAGGCTGAGCTACTCGCGGCCAGAGTGGTACAAAATACTTTTGCCGTCTAAGCATCACTTAGATGTCACTCATAGTGCATTTGCATCGTGGATTGCTTCACGTGGGCACGCAATCGGTCATGACGAGTATTAGATAGAGGTGCTGGATGCCAAGTGCTGGGCAAACAATACGAAATGTATTGAAGTGTATCACGTGTTATAGGGAGAAGAAACTGTTCGCGCCTAAGCAAACGGGTTACGCCATCTCAGGCATCTGACAGCACTGATATTGACTCCATGGGCCTATGGTCGCCCTTCTCGGAGGACCTAGATCACGTGTCACTACAAAGGTCTATATTGTTATATTCGTCTGTATGTGTACTAAAGCAGCCTACTGCGATATCGTTTCGGACCTTACTACTGCCGCGTTTCTTGCAGCATTACATCGATTCTCTAGACGCAGGGGTCTTCCGCGGGCAATATACTCTGACAATGGGAGTGCATACAAAAGAGCGGACAGAGAACTTGCAAACCCTGTGGCACACACCACACTACAGAGAGCCGGTGCAACACGTCGCATTCAGTGGCATTTCGTACGCCTCACATGGATGGTCTCTGGAAATCAACAGTCAAATCATTCAAGACAACTTTGATAAAAACAGTCAAAATCATTTCCACATTCGAGGAACCCTCAAATTTGTATGCTAAATTTGAAGCAATTCTTAACTCTCCTCCTACAATGCCATTGCCTCAAGATCCAGGCGTCACAAATCACCTGTCTCCTGGTCATTTTCTTATTCAGCGACCAATCGAAGCACTTCCGCTTCACAAGCCAGCCGCCAAGTACATTGACCACATAAAACGCTGGAAAAGAATCGTGTACTCCCGCACCCGCAGGGTGCGCCCGCCACACCCACAGCTTGCCACCCCCACCGCCGGCCTCTCCTTCCGCCCCGGTGGCCAACAACCCCGAAGGGGGCTGCAGCCTTCTGCCGCGGCGTCGGCAAGCGGCCTTCTACCCTTGAAATGATACGTTCACTTGTGCCAAGGCAGACATGCGAGAACCACCGCGAGAGGTACAGGCCACACAGCCTGCCCACCGGCAGTAACCCTCCACTAATCGCTGCCCTCGGCGCGTGTATAAAGTACTTGTGAACCTGCCATCAGCAGGTTCTTCAGTGCGGTACGGGCAGACCCGACTCACACCGTCAGTCACCTGCTGGCGAGAGACCGTGTGTGCCGCACGCCTACTTCTGCTGTCAGGGCCCACTTAGGGTCAGGTGCGGGTCAGACTCTCCGTCACCAGCGAACTGTGTGGGATGCCTGCGTTCCCGCTTGCCCTGGAGAAGAGCAGCTCTGAGGTCCACGCATGCCGCAGCCATAGCGCAGCCCCAGCGTAAGGTATTCGGCAACGCCGTGTGCCCATGGACGCGTAGTGCGACCAACCTTCTCGGTGACTAATTAACATACAAGCAACGAACAACCATTTTGTATCATTCATTTAATTTCATTTCTGTGCAATTAACATTTCATTTGTCATATCATCCCATCCCCGGAGAACAGAAACATAGTAGTAATAAATAGTATGTGCAATGAAATTATCGCAATTTTGTCATCCTCCACCTCCTCTCTTAACCAGTGCCCTCCTTCTCCCTCCGGGCTCCTCGCGGCCTGGTGCTGTATACAATTTGCTTTGTATAGAGAAGGATCTTTCAGTCCGCTAATGCAGCCCCTCCCCCGTGCTAGTTATTCTTCCCCCTTCTCTGTGCAGAAGTCCAAGACGGAGAAGCATGTCTGACCGTCGGCGAACGCCTCTTCCGAAACGGATGCCTCCAGAGACGATGAGTACACGGTCTCTGATGAAGACGATTACGGAGAGAGAGTTACTGACACAAGCAATGACATTCAAAAATTTTCAAAGGACTCGTCGGAAGAAGATAGTAGTAAAGATTACGATTGCACCAAAAATGTGAATTTTAATAATCGAAGACACCACTGTTAAGAAAAAATGTCAAATAAGGATGTTAGTCATTTGTCTGGATATGCGACAAGCTTCCTTATTTGTTCATGCAACATTCGTGCATGTCTACAAAATATATTGGACCTCAGAATGGTAATTTTACAAAATATCGAACAAGAAATTTTGAAATTAAGGGAGAAAATTAGATTATGTATCAATACATTGATTTCGAATTTCCCAATCTGATAATACCTAAAGAAGTTTTCAATGAATTGCAACACAAATACAAAGAAAATTCTTAACCTCACATATCCCTGATGATTTTAAGTGGAAACACTTAAGAAGTACCAAGAAGAATCGAATTATTACTTCGTTTCTTTATCTCGAAGGAAATATCCAAGATCGGTGAGATACAGATTCAGGATAATGTTCGATTTCGACTCTCTTTTTGTTACACGATCGAACGACAAATGTAATGAACTGCGCCTTCATTTGCAAAATAATTT